AGATTGGGGGGGGGGGGGGCTGATTTGCTAAGGATTATGTTCATGGAACTGGTTTGTTGGGGATTATAAATGTATACCCAGTTTTCTGAAGAGGAAATGTGTACTCTTGTTATTTGTTCAGTGGGGATGATGATGTTTCCGTCACTGTCAGATGGGGACACTTGATGATCGACTCATCTGTGTTGTTTCAGGACATGCTGGAGCAGCAGTCGAAAGACCTGAAGGTTTTTGTGGACACCACAGGACATGCCTCCTTTGGCTGTGGGTGAGTTCTACTCTCGTTATCATCCACGCTACTGTGGTAGACTTACCAAGTACTCCGATAAAATCAGAGCCCTTCCATTTTATTTTTTTTGCCTATAGAAAAACCCTGATCAAATTTGCATGAAATCCATTTTTTCCCCTTGAGATCCGTTTCCATCGGCCTTATGCAACATATCATAAATTATGTGAAAATACACCTTTTTCTGTAACTTTATTTGGATGTATTTGCAATATTTGCATGATTTATCATAAATGACATGGAAAGACATATCTTAATGTATGTGTATTTGCAAATACATACGTAATTTGCCTCAATCAGTTTGTAAAGTAATCTGATCTACTGGGGCTTGAGACTTTATTTTTTCTTAACACATTACACCCTAAGGGCCTGGACGGGAAGTCCATTGTTAGATCCTAAGCAAGGGGAAAGAACCCACCTCCCATGAATACTAGCCTTTAAAAAACACATTTTAAAAATACTAAACAAATTCCCAAAATCCTGAAAAAATAAAAGTTAAAAAGAAAACTGAATGTAGTTTCAGAAAAATATAACTTTATGTATGCGCAAACTGTTGGAAATGTTCTAACTTTAGTTCAATCGGGGTGTCCGACCCGTCACTCTCACTCTCAGCCTCGCGGTCGGGCCCTAGACCTAGATTTTCTAGATCTAAATTCTATAATTTCTCCGTCTGATCAATCGGAATCGCCCCAAACTCTACCTACAACGTTTTCATCAAAATCTGAGCCATCTGATTTGTCACATGCTCGTTTTTGCTCAAATCCATCGTTATTTCTGTTTTCGAACTCAATTGTGTCGCTTTTCAACAAGTCGAGGCACCTTCGAAGTGTCGGTAACGCGATCGCACTTCGATCAGCTCTAATACTAACACTACTGGCCCGAAAAATTTCGTTTCGGTATCAAACGAAAGAAGAAACTTTTTGCTATACTATGCAAATCAAAATCCCGGCCCCAGAGTCTCGTCAAGGCGAGACTTTCGTTTCTAAAGACGCTGGGTCGGCGCGGGCGGTTCCGGGCGAGTCAGGGTGGAGCGCGTAAGGGAATTCCCGGGCGATCCCGGGCGAGTTAGGGTGTAATGTGTTAAACTCGGATTTTTAATGATGATCCTGAGAGAGTCTCCTGTTTTTGGTCATGTAGGTGTTGGCAGGTCTGCTGTAGAACTAGGACAGGACTATGTGATTGTCTTTGACACACATCCTCCACTAGCATAATTTCGAATAGTTGAAGGGTGGGCTACCGTGCATGGGGGTGGTTGGCGGGTGCTCTGGTGTGCTTTCCTATCAAACATCTATCGTACTTATCTCCTCTTCTTCTTTTTCATGTTTGTTACTCTCTTGTAACACCTCTAGTCTTCTGGCGCTCATATGACCTTATGCAGTTGCGAGGGCCATAAAATGAGAAAAGTTTAGTTCTTCCAAACACACCTCATTTTGAGAGTGATTCGTTGTGCTTGTTGAACTTGTTCTAAGAGGGGTGGTTTTTTAATTAGAGGAGGATGGGGGGGAGGGGGGACTTATATATGCTTTCAGGGATGTTTCAAATTGGTGCGTTTATAATACGGACAAACAACAACAAAATCTTAATACAACTGAGTATTCGTAAATGTTTGCGAGTCTTACTTCCAGCTCCCCATGGTGAGCAGGGGGGCAACAAATGCAAAGAAAGTCGTTAGAATCACACATTTTATCTATTTCAAAAGACTTCTGTGCATTCGACAAACGGAAGAGGCAACACCAAAAATGGATTCCAAAATTAAAGCAAGAAATCGGCGAACACAACTGGTCCAAAAGGGACCTTCTCTTTTACTGGTCCAAAAGGAACTTTGTAGTCACTGGTCCAAAAGGAACTTTGTAGTCACTGGTCCGAAAGGAACTTTGTAGTCACTGGTCCGAAAGGAACTTTGTAGTCACTGGTCCGAAAGGAACTTTGTAGTCACTGGTCCAAAAGGAACTTTGTAGTCACTGGTCCAAAAGGAACTTTGTAGTCACTGGTCCAAAAGGAACTTTGTAGTCACTGGTCCAAAAGGAACTTTGTAGTCACTGGTCCGAAAGGAACTTTGTAGTCACTGGTCCGAAAGGAACTTTGTAGTCACTGGTCCAAAAGGAACTTTGTAGTCACTG